ATCAAATAGCATTGAGCACCTTGGAGATGATTTACCTGATAACCCTATCTAAATTAAGATTTCCCCCTCCCAGCCTATCCCCATTATTCTCTGTCCTTTTGCCCATTTTAGTTCATAGCATTTATCATCTCCTGAGACTATTTTCTTTTTTCTCTCTCCTTCTAGAATGTGAACTTGATGAAGTTTGGAACTTGGTCTGTCTTGTTAATAGTTCTCTTTCAAAGTGCCTAAGTAAGTATCTGAGACATAATTATCTTCAATAAATATTTGTCAAATGCAGGAATGAATTATTACACATTGTAAAGATTACTATGGGAGAAAACAGAGAGAGCTAGGAGAGGAGCTTCTTCAGATTATTCACTGAAAGGAATCTCCTGGATGAAATAATGTTTAATGCAGAGTAGTGATTCCAACAGGTGATAGAGTGACTCCTCTTCTAAACAGAGCTAATAGCAAACACAGATGCCCTAAGGTAAGAATGATCTTGAGCTTCAGAATGTTTAATGGGCTTATACTACTGGAGCATAGGAAATGAGGGAGAGTGGAGTGAAGTGAGATTGCGGAGGAAAGCATAAAAAAGATCATTCAACTTCTTGCAAATTAGTTTAAGATTATGAATATTATGCTAATTACTTGAGAAGCCTATTGAAAGGTTTTGAATGGAAACTAATTAAGAAGTTTATTGCTTTAGAGATTAAGAGACTCTGCAAAAAGAGTATTTGGTAGCTGCGTTGGTGGTCTTGAACTTCCCTGTTTTCCTTCGCTTCGTGACTACATATATCCTTGAAATTATTAGTGAAGTTTGATACTGTGTAAGCAGGTGAGTCCAATTACTGGTATTATCTGAAAGGCTCATTAAAAGATCACAAAATCAAACATTTAGCAATGAAGTAGAGGAGTTAAAGGTTAGGAGAAAAATCTGGAAATGAATTTCAGGGAAATGCAAATCAAAATCACAATGAGATATCACCTAATGCCAGTGAGAATGGCTTTTATCAAAAAGTCCCAAAGCAATAGATGGTGGCATGGATGCGGAGAGAAGGGAATATTTTTACACTCTTGGTGAGACTGCAAATTAGTACAACCTCTATGGAAAATAATATGGAGATTACCCAAAGAACTAAAATTAGACCTACCATTTGATCCAGCAATCCCACTACTAGGTATTTACCCAAAGGAAAAAAATCATTTTATTGAAAAGACACTTGCACTAGAATGTTTATAGCAGCACAATTCACAATTGCAAAGATGTGAAATCAACCCAAATGCCCATCGATACCTGAGTGGATTAACAAAATGTGGTAAATGTATACCATGGAGTACTACTACTCAGCCATAAAAAATGAATTAATACCTTTTGTAACAATCTGGATAGAACTGAGACCATTGTCCTAAGTGAAATATTGCGAGAATGGAAAAACAAACACCACATGTACTCACTACTAAATTGGAACTAATTGATCAGCACTCATGTGCAGTAGATGGAAATAAAACTCAATGGAAATCATGCAGGTGGGAGGGGGGAGAAGGGGGATGGGTGAAATCACACCGAACAGGTACAATGTATACTATCTGGGTGGTGGGCACACTTATAACTTTGTCTCAATCAGTACAAAAACAGTCCATGTAATCAAAACATTTGTATCCCCATAATATTCTGAAATTAAAAAATAAAAAAAAAGAATCACCAGGTAATCTGTAGAAAAAGTATGAAGTGTCATGGACCTAAGAAAACGAAGTTCTTGGTTTGAATTTT